CATATGCCAGGCTCTGTATTTGATCACTAGCCAGCACCAAGCAAAAAGTAGTGAGCAACGGTAACAATGTGCATTATGGAAAGGTAAAAGGCTGGAGTCCTACTATATAGTTCATTAAATCTAACAAGAGTAGGTACACAACGAAAACAGAAAAGCATCATAGCATTTTAGTTAGGTATAGTGGCACACACCTATAATCCCAACACTCTGGGAAGCTGAAGTAGGATTTTGAGTTCAAGGACAGACTGTACTATCTAGCAAGACCCTGTCTCAAAATAAAATCAAAGGGCTGGAAGTGTAGCTCAGTGCAAAAGCCCTGGGCTCAATTCCTAGTACGAGGAGAGAAAAAATATGTAACTTACTCCTTCCTACAAGATCAGAAGAAACTGGAAGTCCTTACTTGGGAGCAATACACTAGCCATAAAATACCATTTCAGTATTTTTTAAAGCAATGTAGTTTTTTTGTTTCTTTTTTTTTTTTTATTGTTTATTGGTACATTTTAGGGATACAGTACAGTTACATTCATTGTTGGGATCATGTACCTTTACATGGCAAGTCTTTTGTTTCTTTTTTGAGAAGAGTCTCACTATGTAGTTCAGGCTATGAACTGTAGCCCAGGCTGGTCTCAAAACTGAGTCATTCACCTGCTGGGATCACAGATGTGTGCTACCACACCCAACCAGCAATACAGTATATTAAATAAAAGTTGAGCTGTCACATTAATTTATAGCTGTTAAAGTAAGAAAGAATTCAATAAAATAAAATTTTTTGTATCAGGGATCGAACTCAGGACTTTGTGCTTTTGAGTCAAAGGCAGAACCGAGGTAAATCCTTGGCCCTTAAAATTAATTTTTTTAGCTGGGCGTGGTGGCACACGCCTGTAATCCCAGCACTCAGGAGGCTGAGGCAGGAGGATCACTGTGAGTTTGAGACCAGCCTGGGCTACATTGAGTTCCAGGTCAGTCTCAACTACATAGTGAGACTCTGTCTCAAAGAAAGAAAAAAAAGCCTCTAATTTTTTAAATTCTCCTGTAAGATCATCCATTAAAGAACTCTAAAACTTGGGCTCAGTGATTGAGCACTTGCCACACAGGCGTAAGGCCCTGGGTTCGATCCCCAGTGCTGCCCCCAGACTCCCAAAGGTAAAACCCCTTTGGCTTGGTATTAATACTCCAATACTTCAGCCAGGCCATCACCTGCCCTTATGAAGGCAAAATCCTTAAACTGCACAGTAACATGATTTTTTTTTTCTCCCTTCGAGAATGGCCTGGCACTTGAAACAACTGGAAGAAAATCCCCAGAATCATAAGGCTGATTCTTTTGTTTTTGTTTTTGCAGTACCAGGGATCGACCTCAGGACCTTATGCTTGCCAAGGCAGGTATGGTGCCACCAAGCCAAATCCCCAGCCCTCGTAACACTGATTCTTACATTTCTGTTCTTGTTTCACAAATAAAATATCTTCCTCCTCCCTGAAAAAAGAAAAAAAACCAGAATCATCGGAAACCAGAGTGACAGGATTAAAGAGTCAGTAATATATAAAACTATTGAAAAATAAGTCAGGTAGTCATTAGACATACAAAATCTGGAAAAAAGGAAACCAGTCCTGCTTTTTTAATAATTTTATTTTTTTTTCTAATTGTGTTAATTTCCCATAGCACCTTGGCAATGTTGAAAACATACAAATACAAGGATGTACTCATTTTAACATTTTATGCATGAGTATGTGTTGTATCATTGGCGGTGGCGGCGGTGGAGTGCGGGGGAGTGGTTTTGACAATGGGAACAAACCTAAGCAATGGATAAAATAAACTTGTTCTGATCCATCACACTCCAACATGAGAGGTGTCACTTGAGAGACCCGAATCAGGTTTAAGAAAAAAAAAAAAAAAAGCAAACACTGATGTTGCTATTTTTTTCCCATATGCTAATCAATGTTGTACTGAAAAACTGAAAATAAAACCATTTAATGTATTGTCCCGTAGCTGTCTGAGTTATACTGTTAGGAACTATTTAAATCAAAGATTCATAAAAAGTCCTTAGCTTTTAAAAATAAGTTATCAGATGAATTTCAAGAGAATTTATTCTCAACTTAAAAACATTCGCTTCTTTAAAATGTCATTTAGCTAACGAAGCTGAAATGTTTGGGTGTCTTCTTAAAAGGTCAGACTAGCTATGTTAGTATATACCAAAAAGTTTAATTAATGGCCACCAAATTGTAAGGATATATATAAAAAATTAGAAAACCCCCATCATATATTAAAGAACTTATATAAAAATCCCTCAGAAGGAATACACTGCTCTCATTTGAGTTTTATCTTTTCTATAAAAAAAATCTGGTACTTTAAAATATGGTTAATGTGTATTGCCAACAGTTATCCCCCAGTGTTGCTGTTTCAAGGTAAAACCAGTGGACATATAAGCCAAAAGACTAATTATTAAGGCGATTAACTAATGAAATTAAAGTGTTCAGTAATATTTAAATTCTATTTCTGTTCCAGCCATATTATTCTTGTTCTTCTTTACACTAGTGAAGGTGCTAACATTCCATTATTAAGCCTTTTGCAAAGCAAATCTGGTTATTTAAAAAGAAAAAGAAATGTAAAACAATTTCAAGCTAACCTTATTTACCAGAAATAAATTAGAATTCTGCATGTCATCTGATCACCTGCAAATTAAGGATGAAAGAAAACAAAACCCACATCACTGAAGGGTCTTTCTTCCTTCAAAATACAGTTGAAAAATAATTTAAATTGATCACTATTTTAAATGCTGGTGACTATATTTGGCAAAACTAACATTATTCAGATTATAGACAGACTCTAGGTATTATGAAAACCTTAGTTAAAAAAATAGAAAATGAAGACAGGTTTATGTATCTTCTCTATGAAATACAAGGTGGTTAAGATTGTGTTTTCTCTTCATGCAGCAACAACTACGGCATATCATTGTACTATACATTCAGTATCTTTTCTACGTAATTTTAACCTTCAAGAGCCCAAGGAAATGTTGAGCCATAAGTGTGAAGAGAAAAATTTGATATTTAAGTTCCACCATCTAAAGAACCAATAAATAGTTAAACTAGAATGAACACACAGCCTCATCCGAGTAATGCTGGAAAAGTCAACAGTTTCATGTAACTCACAGGCATAATCATTTAGATACAAACCTTAAATTTGCTATAATAAAATAAACACCAAGTACAGACTGTGAATACATATTTTATACGCATACACACGCACATTCTCCTCTATATATCCCATCAAATGGGAACTATTACACGTAACAAGTTATATTAAAATATTATAACTTCAAACAAATTAAAAAATGCTCATATCTTTAAACTTCAATCATGTCTAGAGAAAAAGAAAGAATATATTTGTTTTCTTCATTCAAAAAGAAAACTTCTAGGGTTGGAGATTTGGCTCAGGGGCTCCACTGCCTGCCTTGCAAGTGCAAGGTCCTGAGTTTGATCTCCAGTAACAGATACACACACACACACACACACACACACACACACACACACACACACACCCCAGAAAAAGAAAACTTGTGTTTCAGTTAGAAACTTTAGGGCCAGATTTATATAGTTCACTGTAGATCCCTTGGATAGCATGTGGGTAGGCCCTGGATTTGTTTGGTCCCCAGCACCACAAACAAAACAAAATAAAACAAAACACAATCTTTTTAGATATTTAGAATTGGGTAGACTAACAAATCACACAAGCATACAAGTAATCTGAGCCTGACACACTACCAAACAAAAAAAAGTAAAGTTTCATTTTTTAAGTGCAGTAATTAAGTTTATAATCTTTACAAGTGATTTTTACAAAAAGTTTATTCTCTTAAATCCAATGCATTCACAGGGTGTTAACATTTTAAATGTTCATCATTTCCACCAACTGCAGCATGATCTAAGTAAACCAAAATCACTTTTATCATAGATATAGCCAATGATTATTAATTTTTTAAAGGACCTAAATTCCAAAATTTTAGCACAGGTAGTTTTATTGTATGTTTCGTCTAGTAGATGATTTTTAAAAATAGTATGTAGAAATCAATAGTTTCAAACTATGTAAATATATTATGCCACATTATCAATCCACTAAATCAAAAGCAACTGCCAAGCTGAATAAGTTACAAAGAAATAATTCTGGCTCGAACAGAAATGTGCAGTGTTTTCAAAGCTCTTAACAGTTACCCACTAATACAAATCTCCAAAGATTAATCTAGAATTGGAAGATAAGTTTCACAGTAAAGTAATTTTAACCTCCTTTACATTCATTTTAATATATTACTAAGATGTTTATATTCTATGTCACATGGAGCTTTCCAGTGTTCACAATTTACAGTTTCAATTTGTACATATGTAAGTCACTAACATAAGAGACAGTTCTTACTATACAAACTATCTCTAAAAATAAAACCACACCCTACACAGAACTCTGAACATGGTATGACTTAAAACAGATTAATGCAACATGATTTTTAATATTTTAGTAATTTTCTAAATACCAGCATGTAAACTTGCCTATTTAATATGACAGGCACAATTTTATTCATTGAGAAATTGTGTGTTAATTTCCTTCAATCATCTTTTCCACCTTATATCAAAACTCTCTTTGATTTGCTTTATCTGATTCAGTGAATTTCAAACTTTTTTTGAAATGGGGACTGAAGGAAGGCAATTAACTGTAAACAGAAAAAAGTTCTCAAATTAATCCTTTGAAAATTTTCTCTTCATGATTTAAAATTTAAATACTTACAAATTATTAAAGGGGCAGTTGGACCTACCAATCTAGGACCTAAATTTCTAAGTATGAGAACAGAAGAATAAAATATTTCATTCAATTCTGAAATTTAGGACAGTTATTATGATTTGAATAGACTGGCCAAAGCAGTCAGAAATTCATAATTCAGTAAATGGTTGGTTATTTTGCTTCTGGGGATGGGCAGTCAAAGAACAGAATGACAAATGAAGTAACAACAACTTGTGTTGCCCATTTTTGGGAGAGGGGTGTGGAAATCATGGGATAGTTTAAATCTCGAAATCCATGGACCTATTCAGTTCAAAGATGAAATTTTAAAAAATTTAATAACCCCATTCTTTGAGTATCAAACTGATTGCTAGTCACAACTCCAAGTACAATCAGTGCGCCTTAACAGCTTGCTGAATGAAATATTATTAAGGTCAAAAGGACAAATTAAATTTCAAATTAAAAAAAAATCTCAAGTATTACATTCAGTTTTCAAACTGTTCAAACATGACAACAGATTTGGCTGAAATCACTCTTGCACACACTCACACCCACACCAGACACCCTAGCCACCGATCTGTTTTGCAACACAAGGCCATATAGTCAGAGATGGTACTCTCTAAGCCAAACTTTAAATAGATTAAAAAAAGTAATTCGAATTTTTACAGAAATGTTTCTTCAAAAAATATTTTCTCTCATTCCCTCATCTCCTATACTGAAGGATGTTATGTTTCTCCCCCAAGCTAAATCTGAACCCTCAAAATTGATTCCAGGCAGAAAAATCTCTGCAAATTAAAATAAAAAACAAGAATAGAAAAATTATATTTTATATATGTATATAATATATTTATATATGTATATTTATACTGATTGGAATCCTCCAGCATTTAAAAATCACTTTAGAGATGAATTTTGGGATCCTGCTGCTCATAATTCCAAAATCCATAATGATTTAAGGATATACTTTCCATATCCTTTCTGGCTACTCCCTCCCCTCCAAAACAGTTCAAACAGTCATGGCTCAAGTTTAATGGGAAGAGAGAATGTTTCTGAGTAGTTTTGTTTGTTTGTTTTTACTTTGGTGATCTGGGTGGCACATACTGTTCTTTGCCATTGCGTCGAGTCACTCCCTGAGGTATAGCCCTGTGGCTAAACTGGCGTCTCTGTTCCCTGATTTTTCCAGCTGCTCCCCTGGGAATGGTATTGCCTCGAAAGCCGGAATAATCTTTACTAGCCTTTGCTTCTGGCTTCTCATGTGGTTTCTCGACAGACTTCTCAGGAGCTCCATTCTCTTGGTTTTTGGTGGGAGACCCTGCATTGGAGCGAAGTTCTCGTAGTGGCTGCACAAGAACTGGAGATGGCTCTTTAGGGGGCTTCTGGCATACTTCAGCGTAACTTAACTTTCGGGGCTCCTTGACAGAATAAGAAAAAATTTAGTGATGAAAATACTGCAAATGCCTAATAAAGTAGAGCAGATTAAATCTCAGCATAGTAAGAAGCTGAGGTAGGAAGATAGCACATTTGACTCCAGCCTGGGTTAACAGCTACTTAGTAAGAGCCCATCTCACCAAAACCTTTTAAAAGGTGTGTGTAAAGGTTGGGGGCTAGAGAAGATGCTGGGAATGTAGTAAATACAACCAAGAGTGGAATAACGCCTAAAAGTAAGTTTGAATTATCTTTTATTTAAAAGAGAATAAATCTGTTAAATTTATGTTAAAAGAGAATAAATCAAAGATATGTTAAGCACCATATATGCATCAAAAATAATTTTAAGGACAGCCAGGCGTGGTGGCGCATGTCTATAATCCCAGCACCCAGGAGGCTGAGGCAGGAGGATTGCTGTGAGTTCAAGAGCAGCCTGGGCTACATAGTGAGTTCCAGGTCAGTCTCAACTACATAGTGAGACCCAGTCTCAAAAAACCAACAAACAAAAAAAAATTTTAAGGGCTGGGGATTTGGCTCAGCAGTTTGGTGGCCTGCCTTGCAAGCGCAAGGACCCGAGTTCGATGCGGGTACCAAAAAAAAAAAAAAAAAAA